TGCAGAAGGTATTTGAAGTGATTGACCAGTCTAAAAAAAAGATCATTTTTTGTTTTATTTATTTATTTTTTTTGTTTGAAACATTTTTTTTAATATGCAATATTTATGCATATAAATATATCTGTAATATAAAAAATATATCTTTAATATGCAATATTTATGCATATAAATATATCTGATAATATATCTGTACCCATGGTTGCTGTTGTTGTCCTGATTTAGCTGATGTGACTGAAGTTGGTGTTGAAGAAGAAGATGATTGCAAATTTGTATTTTGTTCTTGAATCTGTATTTTATTTTGCATTTTATTACAATTATCTTGTACCTTATTTTCTGTATCAGCTTCTAATTTTGTCATACTCTTTTCAATATGATTAACTTTTTGACACTTTTTTACTTGAGAATTACTATTTGATTCTTCTTTAGTTTTTTTAACATTAGGTTTCGGTTCTCCAGGAAGACAAGTATTGCCACGTTGTCTTCTAAATCGTACGATAATACTTCTAGTATCCCACATTAAATCATGTGCTTGTTTATAAGCAGATATAGATTCATCTACACTATTATATCTTATAAAAGCATATCTATGAAATAAAATAAATGAATTATTGAATGGAAATATATAAAAATAATATATATTTATTTTATAAAATAAATATCTTACCGAGTATTTCTCATTTTTTGTGCATATCCTACATCTACTCGAGCAGCTGTTGGAAACTTATTCTTTACTTCATTAACATTAACAGATTCTGGTAAATTTCCTATATATAATGTATAAGGATCTATTTCCTCAGGCATCGGATTATCTTCATCTCGTAGAGATTTTCTTTCAACTGTTAAATGACCTATTCCAAAAGGTATTTTTTCTAATTCTTTTATAGCTTCATCAATATCAACATTTTCTGCCATTTGTATAAAACAATATCTAGGACCACTAGGACTTTGAAAATGAATATTTTGAATACCAGGATGAAATTCTCTTACAATATCTTTATTTAAATCAGGATCTGGAAACTTAATTATTAAACTTTGAGCTTTAATTGTTTTATTGTATTCATTTTCAATTTTTAAAGCTCTTTCTGCATCTTCTCTATTCCATGGTCGACTAGGATAACTTTGAGACATTGGTTTTCTTTGTTTAAGTTTTTTACCTACAACTTCTTCCTAAAATAAACAATCAATAATAAAATAAAATAAATATATTTATCTAGCTTTTATTATATCTTACTGGAATAATTTTAATTTCTTGATCTGAAGTTTCTTTTCCATGTCTGTTTGTTAAAATCCCTGGAGGTATAGGAGGTAAAGGATGATTAGGAAGAGGAACAGGCATATGATTCATAATTGTATCACCTGTAGATGTAGTATAATTATTTCTCTGCCATTCCAAACCAAGACTATTACTCAATGTTGCACCAAAATATGTTGCTTGATCAAACTGTGTTTGAGTATGTCCAAATCTTGCAAGTCTTCTATTTTTACGATGAAAGTTATTTCTTTGAATATATATATTACTTTTAGCGTGTGTAAATCTTTCTCGTCGTATGTAATTACCTCTAAGAGGCATTTCTCTTTGAAATGAATTTGTAGTCATATCACGTGGAGGTGGAGGTGGTAAAGGAGATGTTTGAGGTGTTATCCATTGCCATGGTGTAGGAGGTGTCCATGCTTGTATTGATGTAACTTGAGAAGGCACTGGTCCAAATACATGAGGAGGTGGTGGAACACTACTAGAAGGAGGAGGCATAGGAGGTAATGGTGGTTGTCCTGGTAAAGGTTGTGTGACAGTTGAAGGAGATGAAGAAGAAGAAGTATAAGAAGGATAGGAACCTTCATATCCAAAATTAATACATTCTTGTTTAGCAAAAGATCGCTTTGTTTCCCTATTTTCTTCAGTTATCTGAAAAATAAACAATTATGAATTAAAAGTAACAAAATATATAAAAATTTTATTATCATAAAAAAATTTATAATTCAATATTATTCATTTAATGTTATCAATATTCGATTGATTTATTAAATATACAAAAATATTTTATACAATCGCGCGCTGTCAAACTAACCTTTTCTACAAATACCATTAATGAAATAAATATAAATTATCATATATCATAAAATTATATAGGGAATAGAAAAATAAATTTTTACCGAACGTTTCATAATGGAGATAAAATTATCGATAATCTTTAGACAAAAATTATGTTCTCTAAATTATAATGTAAATACAACATTATACGAATCAGCGAGAACCACCAATATCAAACTACTAATTGTTAAAATATATCACAGGAATGCCAACCCTAATTTTAATTTTTTATATTAATTAAAAAGTATATTTAATATTATTTATTATAATAATTACATAAATAATTTTTTTTCTAAATATGTATTTTTTATAATTTTATTATTTATTTTTTATAATTTTAAAAAATTTTAGCTTATATTAATTTATTTTATATTATATAATTTTTATACTTTTTAAATATAATTTTTTATGAATTAACTATTTTATATTTTAAAACGAAAAATAAATATTATATATATATCATATATATATAATATATATAATAATATATATATAATAATAATATATATATACATATATATATAATGATACTAAATATATATATTTATATATATATTTTTTTTCATTAAATAAAATTATAAAAATATAATAAATAAAATCATAAAAATATATAAATAAATTATAAATTTATTAAGATTTTTATGATTTCAATTATATATGTTAGATATATTAACACAAGAAAGTCCAAAAAATCAGAAAAACAAACAATTGCATAAGTAAAAAAGGAAAAATAAAACAACACCAATTAGCATCATTATATTATTTAAAATAATACATTTCGTTAAAAAAAAATTCTTATAATAAAATAATATTGGATTTATACTAAAACGAAATAAGAATAAAAAAGATTAGATATAAAAGAGTGTATCGCAATTGTTTTTTTTCTTCCTTTCTTTTTTTATAATGACATAATAATATAGTAAAACTAATGATTGTTTTATTCTTTCCTAATTACTTTGCTTAAATTTTATTGCGGTAATTTCCCGGTGCGCCGATGCAATTTCACATTTCTGTCTTTGGAAAAGGAAATTTTGTGTAAAAATTTTGCCGACAGATGCCCTTACTGTTAGTTCACTGAACGAGCATATTGTGCGTATAGTTTGTGTGACATGGCTACGAGTAATACAGAAGAAATTGAGGTACTTTTTTCTAATATTTTTTATAATATTACATATTATGTAGAAATATCATAATATATATTTTTCAAGTCTATTTATAATTTGAATATCGGAAAAAATATAAATATTTTTTTTTTTAAACGTGATCACTTCAATGCTCTTTACCCCTCCCATTTGCTCCCAAGCATGGTGAAAACTGTCTAACGAGCTTAAAAAAAGACATATTATATTACTAATATTAAAATAATCTATAATATTATTTTAATTAATTTGATTCATTAATATATAAAATTTAGTTGCTTATACTTTATTTATATAAAATAAACGAAATCGATAGAAAACAATAGAAAGTAAAATTCATAAATAAATCATTAAGGTTAAAAAAAGCTAACTTTGGAATTATGAACATGATCATGTGTAGGAAGTTGAAAGGAAGGAGCAAGAAGTAGTAAACTTCGATGAATTCCCCCCAGAAGTTTTAATCAAACATCCACTTCAACATACATGGACTCTTTGGTATTATGAACCAGATAGAAATAAAACATGGGAAGAAAGTCAAAGAAAAGTTACAAGTTTTGATACAGCTGAAGATTTTTGGAGGTAAATTTAATTTTATCTTGAAATTTAATAATTTATTTAATTTTATTATTGTTATATTTTCACTAATAATATTTGTTTTAATAACAGTTTATATAATCATATAAAGGCAGCATCAGAATTAAAACAAGGTTGTGACTATAGCATGTTTAAACAAGGAATCCGACCCATGTGGGAAGATAATGCCAATAAATGTGGTGGAAGATGGCTTATAAATTTAGATAAAAAGCAAAGAAATACAGATTTAGATCACTTTTGGTTAGAAACTCTTTTATGTATGATTGGTGAAGCATTTAATGGATATTCAGATGATATTTGTGGGGCTGTTGTAAATGTAAGGCAAAAAGGAGATAAAATTGGTGTATGGACTGCAAATGCTAATAGTGAAGATAGTGTCATGGAAATTGGGTAAATATAATATATAATACATATTTGAGTAAGTGATTGATGAAAAATTTAATTACTTCATTATTTTTTTTTACAGACGTAAATTAAGAGAAAGATTAAAAATTGCATCCAAAGTTACTATAGGCTATCAAATACATAAAGATGTTATGGTCAAAGTAGGAAGTCAAACAAAGAATGCTTATGTTGTTTAAATCTTATTAATGTTATTATCACTATTCATTAAAAATTTTTCAAATAACATTATGCATACATTATTAATGTGGATATTACGCAAAATTTAGATTACTAAACAAAATAAATGAAACAAAAATTTAATAACAAATAATTAAAACCTACATATTTTTATTAAAATTAAATATTTTCTTAATAAAAATTATTCAACAATAAGAAATAAATGTATACTAGAACAAATGTATACAATAGATATAAAAATTTATATTAATATTATATATAATTTAAAAATAGATTATAAAGTATACACATTAGGCTGCTGTATTTTCTAAAATATAATTAAAAATATCAATTGCAATTTCTATTATGATATCTAATCAAGCAATTTTTTTTATATATATTGCTTTCATTCCTTATAAATCACAAAGACTGCTAAATAATGTTTTTTTTAAAAAACCTATATATTAGGTTTATCAGTTTTAAATCATTTCAATTAATAATAAAATACAGCAACCCATCTCACTTTAAGATAGCATAATAATATTTAATATTTTCATAATTATTTGGAAAATGATTATATTTAAGTTTTTCTTACAAATATATTGAAAAAATTAATATTTATTTTTTATTATTTTTTATTTTTAATTTCTTTTAAATTATTAACTATTTGATTCTAATATTAATTTCTCAGAAAGTTCCTTAAGATCCTTGCGTCTTGCTTTTTCTAAAGCATGTATTAAATTTATCTTCCAATTATTGTCACTATATTGGGTTATATATAATTTCAAAGCCTACAAATTATTTAAAAAATTATAAATTATGTTACTTATATGTAAAGAATTATATTTGAAATAAATCCATTTTAATTCTATTTTCTTACTTCATAACTTTGTTCTTTCAAATCAAAAGGATGTTTGTTCTGAATTACATCAATTTGATATTCAGGTATATTTAAATATCTCACAGTATCTCTCCAAGAACGACCAATTCTTTTACTTAAATGTGATAATACTTAAAAAATAAGATTTTTGCATATATAATTTCATGGTTAACATTATATATTAAAAAGAATAAATTTATTCTTACATATTTGTTGTAATTCCGTTTCTTGTGTAAAAAGATTGCTTTTGACATTTTTGTATTCTAATGTTGACTGATTTTCAAATTCATTAGAGACTTTTATTTGTGATGTATTACTTTTATTTATATTTGATAATTTGGATTTGTTGTCATCTTTATTTCCTGTTAAAAATTATGTAAAAATTACTTTAAAAAATTATGTAAATATATATGGCAATTAAAAGTATTATTAAAAATAATTCCATAATATGAAAATAAAAGTGAATTTACCTTTTGATTCTTGATACATATTAAAGGATAAACAATATTGTATGTTTTGAATATAAATTTTATAATCTTTCAATTTATTTTGTATTTGAAAATCATTTAAAAAGTTATTTGAAATATATATAAGTGGTTCTATATTATAATAATTAAGACAATCACGCTTTTCTAATACTTTCAATAATGTTTTTAAATCATTTATCTGACTCAATTTACGATTTGAATTTATATATTTTGCATAATATTTTTTAAGTATACTTAATATATTTTTATTAATGTAATATTGAGCAGTTGATAAGAATTCTTCTTGTAAACATATATATTTTATTTCTAATTCCATATTGCTAATTAGGGAAATTCCCTTTATTTTTAAATTTGTTTCTTCAAATATATTTTAAAAATACTAGATAATTATTTGTAAAATAAAAATAAATATATTTTTTACTTAAAAAATTTTTTAATAAACTTTTTCTAATAAAAAAGTTTCAAACTTAAACACATTAAATAATAAATACAAATTTAAACTTTATTTATTTTAAAGTTGATAAATAATTATTTTTTTAAAGTTGATGTAATTATTATTTTAAAATTTATAGATTAAATATTTTCTATTTTAAAATATTTAAAAATACACTAATAGAGGTTAATAACAATAATAAAACCAAATTGCACTTTGTTATATTAAATATATTAAAAATTAAACAATCTTAATAGTTTTTATGTAATCATTAAGGTAGTTTTCATATAAAAATCTTAGTACAATAAGTGTATAACTAAGTTTAGTTATATAGTTGGATATGGAACATATACAATATATACGATATTCATAAAAACATTTCATTAATAATTATTAAACTTTTAAAACACATGAATATATACTTATATATATTGTTAAAAATTATTAAATATGAATGAATCTCAAAAAATACAATATTTGATTGTTGATACAAGTGCCTTCATTCGAAATGCATCTTTACAGGTGAAATATTTCTTAAAATATAAAGTCAATATGATTTATTATTTATATTATACAATATTAATTTTATATAACTTTATAATATTATAAATGTAATAATTCTAATAATAAATATCAATTTTAGGATATTGGTGTTAACATAATAACAGAACAAGATGTAGTGAATGAGGTTACAAATAAAAGGCAATTAAGAAGATTAGTTGTCTTACCATATGATTTAAAAATAAAAAATGCATATTCTGAAAATATTAAATTTGGTAAATCTAATTTTATTTAAATAATATTTTGATATATATAATATATATTAATAAATATATTGTGTTTATTTATATTTTTTTATAGTTACAGAATTCGCTAAAAAAACTGGTGATTATACTAGTTTATCAGCAACTGATATAAAAATAATTGCATTAACATATCAGTTAGAAAAAGAAAAAGTGGGAATTAATCATTTAAGAACAGAGCCAACAATTGCACAAACTATAAACTCTAATATTGAAAAAGCTGTGGATTTTCGTACATCTTTAGCTGGTTTTTATATTCCAGAAAAAAAATTAAAAATAAAAGTAAATATTTCTATTGGTATAATTTTTATATTGGTAAATCTATTAAATGATATTGATATAATAATTAAATTAAATTAATTTTTTAATATATAGAAATCTTTTGACGAAGAAAATAATAAAGAAAAAATGGAAACCAATAATATAAAGAATATTAATCATGAAGAAAAAAAAGAAGATGAAATTGAATCAAATTATATCGAATCTTCTACTGGTGTTGATTATAAAACAGCATATTCTGTTATAGATCAAAACAGAATAGAAAATTTATCTATCAAATTTTCAAAATTAACTTGTGAATTAACAAGATTTGTTGTTCAAGATAAAAATAATATTAAACATAATATTGATGATGATGATGATGATGATGATGATGATGATGACGATAATGGTTGGATTACTCCTGGTAAAATGTTTTTTAACAATTTCATATAAAAAAATAATTATATGAATAAAAAAATATTTTTTTATTTCAGGAAATATTTATAATATAAAGAAAGAACTTGATTCAGATTTTCTTGAAGAAAAACCTGTAATTGTTGCTTGTTTAACAATGGATTTTGCTATGCAAAATGTTTTAAAACAAATAGGATTAAATGTAGTTGCATTAGATGGAAAAATAATTAAACAAATGCGAACATACATTCTTAGATGTTATGCATGTTATAAAACTACTAGTATTATGACGAAAATTTTTTGTCCTAGTTGCGGTAATAAAACATTAAAAAGAGTCGCAATTACATTGAATGAAGAAGGAAAACAAAAAATTCATATTAATTTCAAAAAACCAATTTCAAAAAAAGGAAAAAGAGTATGATTAATTTTTTCTTAATTTTGTTAATTAATAGATAAATTTTTATATGTATTAATATTAATATTAACATATTCTATAGATATATAATATTTTTTATATTTTTAGTTTTCTTTACCTATGCCAAAAGGTGGCAAACATGCAAACAATCCCATTCTTTGTGAAGATCAACCAATTCCAGATCAAAAACCAACACGATTAGCACGCATAAAAAATAATCCTTTACAAGATGAAAACATAGCTGAATATTCTCCATTTGTTATGCGTGATGTATATTCAAAATCAGCTATGTTGGGCATAAGGGTAAAAAATCCTGTTAAATATTGGATGCAAAAAAATCCAAATGAAGTTAGAAGAAAAAGAAAATAAATAATTTTATCTTTGAATTTATATTTGAATAATAAAAAAATATAAATATTATATGTATAATATATAATCATATATAATAAATCATTTTTTTTTTTGAATATATAAATTAAGTATATAAATATTGAATTTTTATTAATATTTTTACTTTTTTATTTAAATATTGAATATTTTAACCCTTTGCGCTCTAACGGTGACTCTCTGGCATCACTTAGATTGATGCAGCAATTCGAACGACAATATTTATGTTTGATTTTTTTTAAATTATCACTTCATGAATAGATTCCTAAGCTCTTTAAGTATAATCTTATAAAGTGTAGAATATACTATCAAATAGTTTTTATCTGAAATAAGAATATGATCTCGGATCGAACTTCGGTGTTAGTCCGAATTTGATATTTGTGGCGATAGAAATATTATTTTCAAAGTTTTTGAGTTTTGTAAGCGTGGAACTGTAATAAAATTAGTTCAAATAGAAATGACTTTAATTTTTCGTTATTAAATAACGAAATGATTTCTATTCATTAAAAAATTGACGATAAAGAGAAAGAAAATAGTAATGAAAATTGAGATGCTGTAAGAGAAGATGAAAAATAAGAATAATAGACTGCGAATGTGAGAACAAATTATTGGAATATTAGTTCAAGATGAATTTTTCGTTATTAAATAATGAAATTATTTCTATTCATTAAGAAATTGATAATAGAGAGAAGGAAAATAGTGACAAAAATAAAGATGTAGTATGAAGATGAGAAATAAGAATAATAGACAATAAATGAGAGCACGTTATTGGAATTGTAAGATATTTTGTAACGATATTTTATTGTGATATTTGCTCTGACAAACCGAAGATGCTTTAGAAGTAATTGCTTTATTATTAAAATATCACACAACAATATAGATTTTTAATGTTCAATAAATTATCTTTCTTTATATGTAAAGATAGAAAAAATATTAAAATATTAAAGTTTTATACGTTAATAATTAATAATTTATATGTGAAATCATTTTAAATTAGCTAAGAAATTCATCAAACGGGTGCGGGAAGTTGTTTGGAGTTGTTGGTTCGTCCGAGCGAAAAAGGCGCGGAGTATTAATAAATTATAAACATTAATAATATAATAATAAAACTTAATAAACGAAAATATATACATTCAATATTAGTATTTATTATTTATACAATAATTATTTACGTAATAAAAATTTAAGTTGCCCCGGGTGAGGATCGAACTCACGACCTTAAGATTATGAGACTTACGCGCTGCCTACTGCGCTACCGAGGCTCACGAATTTGTTTTTGGAGTAATATATGTTTTTATTGTAATCGATAATTAAATAAAATTATATGATACATAAAAATTATTTTATGATAAAATAGTTTAATATATCCTTACAATTTTGAAAAGTACTAATATATACAACATAATTAAATATTATAAATATTTATATTAATATTTAAATATAATATATTATTATTCTTAGTAAATATATATTTATTAGATAATATATAAATTTATTACAATAGATTAATAAAAATATTAATTAAATTTAAAATAAATCCATTAAATAATATTTTCAAAATTACTAAGTTGATTGATAAAATTTTTTTTTAGTAGTGCCAGTACTGAATATTATTAATTTTAATGAATTATTTTTGTTCCAATTGATTATTGATTTAATTCATTTCAAACTTTTAATCGTTGTAATTATATTATTATGCATTTTGTATAAATCAATCAAAGAATAAAATATATGTAATACATATACAATTAATAATATTGCATCTATATAATCAATCATATCATACCATTATATGTTGTATGATACATTATAAGAATATAATATAAAAACATTATAAGAATAAAAATATTTATATCTTTTAAATAATATTCATTATTAAAATGCTTAATCCAGAAATATGGAATTTCAAACCACCTCAACATTATTTTTCGACTGAAGAAAAAGATTACAAGAAAACTGATATACCGAACATAATCAAATCACATTATTTTAACCATTCTGTATGTAAAGAATTAATTTTAAATAATTTTAATTTCATGAAGATAATGCTTTAAGAAATTTTTACGTAATTTACAATTTTATTGGTTTTGTGCCAGATATCCTTGATACTTCCTGATACAGTCAGAATTCCGAATGAATTGCGAACTTGTATTTTTGAAGATAGTGATTATTATCGAATTAATAATTTAAATGTATCTGAATTAATAAATAAAGAATTTATAGAAGCATTTGTGAAGAAAGGTAAGTGATGTATATTAATATTTCGTCATATTTATTGATTATTTAAGAATTAAATTTAAAATCTTATTTAAAAGAAACAAATATATTATCATATTACATACATTTTTATAAATTTTTCAGGAGAATTAACACTTTTAACGATAGAAAATAAAATAGATTTAGACAATTCAGTTGCTATTACTCCATCTGGACATTTAATATTATCATTATTAACAGAAGATTTTCAAAAATTGGGATTAGAAGGCAAAATTTCTTTTTTTGATCGTAAAATGAATACACGTTATGGTAAGTTCTAAAAGAAAAAGTAATGCTTCAAAATGCCAAGAAAACACCAGGTACATACGCTAGTGGATCTAGCATTATATTCTATTGGAGAATTTGTAATTGTTTTTGGTAAATATTTGACAAAATACATTTATATGATTTCTAAAACTAATCCAACGTATGGACATATTAAATTACAATCAATGTTAGAATTTATGAAACGTTTATTAAGTTATAATGTTCCTCAACATTTATATGATAAAATGTTTAAAACAGTATTAACTGCTGTTGTTAATTTAATTAAAGAAACTAAAGGTACATATAATGATTATGCTTTAACTACAACCTTTTTGTCAGAAATGACTATTGCTCTTCATTTAACAGAAGTGGTTATAGATACACATTTAAAAAAAATTGAATTTTCTGCTTGGCCTAAGATTATGCGCCATATTCTTTATACTAAATTACCTGATATGATTGGACTCAAAGTTTTAGATTTAGGTTCAGGATCAGCAGGTTGGAGAACATCTGATATTGAAAAAATTATTATTAGTGGCGTAACTGCTATGCCAAATTTAATATGTTTTATTTTATGCTTTGATTGCACGGATAATATTATAACAGCTTTAGCTCAAAACTGTAAAAAATTACAAAAGTTAGATGTAACTGCATCTAGATCAGTAACAGAACGCAGTGTTCAGCCTTTATTGTCATGCAAATATTTAAAACAAATTAAATTATGTAAAACTTCTATGACTATATCTGGTTATGCAAATCTCTTTCTAAAACATTTAAATATTGAAGATATTGGTAGATGTGATGAATTTGGATATGTTTTGGAACATATTCATCAAAAAGATATTACAACTTCTTTTTATATAAGAATATTTGAGAGTCGAAATTTCAGTGTGGAACATTTATATCTTTTAATTGATATGTGTCCATATATAACAAGTCTTTGTATATTACGTGATGATAGAATTATGGATTTTACAATCTTAGCTACTCTCAATTATTTAAAAGAATTAAAACTTTTGTCTTGTGATTTCTATATTCATGGAATAAAAACACTACTAGAAATAAAAGGTACTACAATTACAAGTTTACATTTGGAACATGTAGATGGAATTGACTTGAATGCACTTATATCTATAAGTCAACATTGTCCAGATATAAAAAATCTAGTTTTTTATAATTGTGAATTCTTAGAGCAAATACCAAATCATCCACAACAATTTACAATCCCACCATTTCAGTATTTAGAAAGAATCAAATGTGTTGTAGAATGTACAAATATGCATCTAGAGTTTTTACTTTCTCATTGTAAAAACATTAAATTTATTCAGTTGGGTTCATCAACTGGTATTGGAGATGAAACAATAAGAAGAATATTTTCACAAAATTCAATGCGTAAATTAGAAGAGCTCAAAATATTATATAGCCATGATTTATCAATGAATACTGTACAGTTATTAATGCATTATTGTGATAATTTATATCGTCTATCAGAACTAGAAAATTGGCAAGGAATATCTCCTATAGAATTAAACAATTTTAGAAAAGAGTTAAAAAATACTAATATAAATTTGGATACAAGTCCAAGTTTATCTTTTGCATAATAAATTTAACTAAAAATCATATATTTTATATAATATATATATATATGATTTTTATGAAAATATATATTATATAATTAAAGGAAATAAAATGATATATAATTATATAAAAATATAATTATAAATATATAAAAATGAGATTATAATATTATTATGAATAATATTGATATGTATTTAATATATTTGTTAGTTTTTAATAAAAAAAATATTGATTACAATTTTTAATAATTTAGATTTAAATTTATTAATATTCTTTATTTTTATATATATATATTTTTATTTATTTTTTATTGGTAATGTAAATCAAAGTCACGATAATCGACTTGAAATCTGAAAATTTTACATTTGGTAAAAAAAAATTATGAACATGTTCAAACATCATTGAAGAAACATTTTGATAAAAAATTCAATATAATTATTTCATGGAATCCATCAGGTAAATTTTTCATTATTTTTTATCTTATTTATTTCTATGAAATTTTATTTTATTTATATATTTTTAGAAGAAAATGTGTGTCCATCATCTGTGGCAGCATGGTTTCACAAACGTAAATATAGCGTATTTCTTTGTCAACAAGTTTTTTTACAAAGAACTGAATATTCTTTATCAATACCAATAATTTCTAATGAATCCAATAATGATAAATTTTTTGAATGGCTTGGAGTTTTTATTATATGTGGTGATTTGTATGTATGATATAAATATCAATCTAAATAATAACTTAATTTATTAATATAATATATTAATTTAATCTTGTAATATAATAATAATAATAATTTAATTTTTTCTTTTTTTTTAAGAAAAAATAATGTAGAAAATGATTATGTAAATACATATAAATGTCCACTTCCATCTATGAATGTTGGTCAAATACAACATTTACAATGGACTGGTTTTTTCACAAGAAATCAGATAAAAAATTTATACAATGCTATGAATGAATATATATCAACAAAAAATACTTTACCATGGATTGCTTTACATGTT